GTGATTGCATGATTTCAGCCAGTTGAATTTATTGCATAAAATAAATTGGCATTAAAGAGAACAATTTAATTAAAATACCTAAAGATCAAGAACAGATGCAATGGAGGGGGATCACAAAGATCATAACAACTGTAAAAAGAATTGAATTTAACAAAAACTTACTCTTTCTTCTGTATCATCAAAACGTTGGGTGAGCCTTGCAGCAATTTCTTCAGTTTCAGGGGGTGAATATGTCAAATGATATATTCTACCAGTAACAGGATCCAACCTACGCCCAACCACTCTATCAACCAGAATCTCCTGAGGAACCTGTTAATAATCAATCACACAAATGGATTCAAATGTACCTTCAAATTCAATCCAAAAAAAAAAAACATAATTTACAAATCTCACTTCAAGAAGAATAAAAAGGTCTGGATGAAAACCAAAGGCTTGAAGTGCAGTTGCTTGTGATGAGCTTCTTGGGTATCCATCTAAAAGCCAACCTTTTTCAGCAGAATCTGGTTGTGATAAACGATCCTTCACCATCTATATCCAGGGAAGAAATAATTATAAAAAAGCTCTATGTATAAAGTTTTACAATGAAGGTCAAAGAATCCTACATACCATGACAACTATCTCATCTGGAACCAACTGTCCTTTCTCCATATATTCCTTTGCTTTCTTACCATTTGCAGATCCCACTTCAACTTCTGCTCTCAGTAAATCTCCTGCTGCAATGTGCACCAAATCATACTGCAAGTGCGAAGATAGATTAATTCAATGCATGCTACATCAAGGAAATCAATATTCATGGGTGTGATGCAAATCATCTAATATGAAGTTATAAAGCCCCCAATACACAAAAAACAGAAGCATTTTGGTATCTATTTGGCAAAGGGAGATGGATCACAATTATGAGACAGACACCAAGAAAGAAAGAGTTTAACCTTAAGTATTGCCATGGATACCTATGAAAAACTTGATGGAGAAATGGGTAATCAAGCAAATGAGAGAATCAGTTATGTAAGCAAAATCTAATCCAATACTTTGATGAAATTTATTACCAAGTGAACAGAAGCTTTGATAAGGCAAATGAAATTGAAATTGGAAGTAAACAAAAGGCAGTAGAGTTGTTTCCCAAATTGACTCACTTTACTAGTAATTAGCTGGCATTGTGTTCCTTTACCAGAAGCAGGAGCTCCAGATATCATAATTTTCAAAGGCTCCCGAGGTTTCTCCGTTGATGCCAAAATCTGCCAATAACCAAAAGTACTAAATACAAATAAAAGATTTTGGTAAACATCACTTGAATCGAATTCAGTCATGTAGAGCAATATTGAAGCGGTTACCAAAGAAGAGCGTCGATTTGTTTGCCTACATCGGCGTGTAGCAGAATTTACAGCAGCAATGGGAGAGACGGTGAATGAGAATGATGATGACGAATGTTGTGGATTGGGGAAATCATGGAGACAAAACGAGGGATTCGGATGTTTCGGCTTCGATAACATCGTAGACGAGTTCAAATAAGGCCACGAAGCCATAGCTCCGATTCGGACTCACTGTCAATTCCCTCGTTCTTCTCTCCTCAATTGCACGCAGCAGAGGAACAACACCTAGGCTACCAGCACTACACTACTGGTTTCCGATATGTAACAAACACGTTTGGAGTGGTGAAGTGAACTACAAAAACTCAATAAGGATCCATAGACCGATTTCATGGACCTCCGTCTCCGCGGAGAAAGATTTGGTACTACGGACCCCTACAATCTCAATCCCATTCAATAATCTCTAGCCCCAACGGCGCTGTCGTTTAGCATGTAGGTATCCCTTACTTCTTAATAGGTATCACTTACTTCTTAATGAGTATCACTTATTTTTTAAGTGAAAGTCGACAACTATTTTTCACAAACTAATTAAATACCAACAAACCCAATTACTTCTCTACAAAATTAACCAATTTATACATTTTCAACTTTTGATATGTTATTCCAAGTCAAACCTGTTATTTGCAATTTTATATTTTTGGCTTAATTTATAAACTTTATTGCAAACTTAGTCAAACTTTAAATTTTAATATTAATCGGTCCAAATTATATTTTTTACAAATGCAGTCCAAAATTAGTTTTTTTTTTTTTTTTTTTTTAATTTTTAATAAACCTTTTTAGTTTTTACAGCTTTCTCTATATTTCCAAAAACTTTTTTTTTAATTAATACTTTTTGTACATTTAAAAATATATATTTCAAGCTTTTTAAACTTTTGTATCTTGTAAAAAATCTAAAAAGAAAAGTTGTTAATTTCTTTTTAAAAAAGCTTGTCAAACAATTTAAAAAAGATGTAAAAGAAGTTTAAAAAATGTTGTAAAACAATTTTAAAAACATTCCAACAAAGTTTAAGAATATTCTAAAAACATTATAGAAAATACACTGTAAAAAGGTTAAAACCGTTAAAAAAGTTCTAAACTGTAAAAAAGATTAAATAGGTTCTACAAAAAGTTATAAAAGCGTTGAATATGTATTTTATAAAAAAATTAAATAGTTGGTTTTCCAAAAAGAGGGTAACCCTTTATACATTACATCCAAAATACGTCTTATAATTTTACGAATTATAGCTTCTTTTATCCCTTACACTTACACCCAAAATATGCCCTAAAAATACATTGTCGTTTTCTATCGCTCTAGCCAGAAAATTTCAATGTAGTATTACAACAAGTGATTTAGAAAGAGCAATATGGTGGGATGGTATAAACCATAAACCTGAATGAAAGAAAACTGTATAGAGGTCATAGATACTATTATCTTTTTATGAATGGCCAAATGGGTTGATAAAAATGAAGTTGAAGATTCATTATTTCCATTTGTTTTTCTTTAGACAATAGACCCTAACATGTTGACATGCTGTCTTACATTTGACGTGCATTGAAACGTGAATAGGACACAAATTGTATTTATATATTTTTTTTATTGCATCCACAAAAATAGAACAAAACAGACGAAATGGATTCGCGTTCACCAATTTAAAAAAAAATAATGAATATCTCATAACGAAAATGGGCCTCAAATGCTAGTTATGTAACAAACAGAAGTGGGGCTGTGCATGGGTCGGTTTTGGACCCAAACCCAAACCAATCCATAAATGGTCGGTTTCTGGTTTTCAGAACCCAATAGGATCGGTGTCTGGTCGGTTTGGTTTTTCGGGTTCTGAGATCAGTTTGGACAGTTTTTCGGTTTTTTGGGTTCAACTCATATACTCACGGGTTCTGGGTTTAAACCCATGGGTTTTGAGTTTTAACCCATTTTCCATAAATGAAGCAACAAGTTAAATATTTTAAAAAACACCAAATAAAAGTTAAATACTTCAAAAAACATGAGTTACAACAAATAATCTACTACAAGTTAAAACCAAAGCCCGAAATAATCTGTTACAACCAAAACACAATCAAGTATGGGTAGTTTCTTGGGTTGGATGAGTCGGCTTCTTGGGGCGGTTTGTCGGTTTTAAGTATGGGTCGATTTCTTGGGTTGGATGGGTCGGTTTCTGAGTAAAAACCGAAACCGAACCCGATTTTTCGGTTTTTAAAAATATCAAACCCAAACCGTCAGTTTTGCTTCGGTTTCGGTTTCGTCGGTTTCTCGGTTTTTTGGTTTGGGTTTGCTCACCCCTACAGAACTTTAACTCTATGTTGTCCAATTGATACTATCGATACGAAGAATCATGATATGTGACCAAATTTTAGTGCTCAATATTCCTCGTAACTTCAGCATATATTTTATTTTGTCTCGTGTTTCTTTTTACATATGCAATATATTCCCTCCACAATGAGAAAACAAAAAAAAAAAAAAATAATATAACAAATCTACACCTTTTGGGAGGAGCAAATCATAAGCAACGTGTCTCCGAAGTACAGGAAGTTCTTTCTTTTCACGTTCACAATCTTCAAGCCATACCTTTTTCACCACATTGATGACACCCATAGCAGAAAGGTTCCTTACCTCTTTCTTCTCACTGCATTGTTCATAGAAAATGAGTGGCACATAAACAAATTAATAAAATACTATAAGATAAGTGATTGGCATGAAAAAATATACTTGCATTTCCGAGGGAGTTCCAACAACAATGTGTGTTAACTGATCATTAAGAGACATATAACGAGAACCACTTCCTCTTCTAACCATGTTCACCAATCGATGCATTTCAGAAGCATCAAAACCAACAAGATGAATTTTGCAATTCAACAAGTACAAATCGTTGTCTTCAGATTGAGAATCTTCATTAATGTCCAGAGTTGCTTCCAGGTCAGCATCACATGAAATATCTTGATGGGTCATGGAAATTGGAGCACCACCCTCCTTTGAGTTTCTGATAACCTTGTTTTGGCTACAAGTCTTTTGATTGTTCATGGATATGACAGGATATGACTCCTCATTCAAACATGCTATTCATCACAAAAAAAGATAATTCATATCAAACATTCAGAACATCACAAAGTCTCAAGTCTGTGAATGAAGTTAAGCATTGCCTTTTCTAGCAATAGACTGGTAGAACCATGTTCTAGTAACAACACAAATTTGACCCCATCTTTTCGCAACCTTGTATTTGTCACCTTCAGGAGTGTGGATTAGTGGTTAAGGTGACATTAATCTACAAGATGTAATCCACTTAAAGTATGATTAAACATGATTCACAAAATGATTAAGGATATATCACACACTAGATGAGTACTCTTTTTTGTGAGTTCAGCAGAATATTTTCCCCCATTCTGTAGGACAATCTTTTTTATCTCCTCACGTTCATCTGTGAGAAGCAAACATGTTAGCCATGTTAACAAATTCACAGTTAACTTATTTTGATTTTCATGATATATATATATATATATATATATATATATATATATATATATATATATATATATATATATATATATATATGTTCAACCTGAAGGCATTTGGGTGACACTAATTCTCAACCCAGAAAAGGGAAGAACTCTGTATGAGTCATGAGGAACAACACGATGCTCTTTCTAGCACTGGTGCACCCAATTCTCAGAGACAATAATGGGTTTCTTCAAATTGTTCAAAGCCCACTGCAAAACATGTAAAAAAAAAAAAGCAAACTAGATGACTCAACAAGCTTCAAAATTATGGTGGTTGAGACTTGAAAGTGTAAAAGTATTGATAAATGCATATTCAGACTTGAAAATATGACAAAGCAACAAAGAAAATACACAAGTTATTACTCTTGTGAAAACAGAACAGAAACAAACCTTGTATTTTCCAGCTAGTACATTCTTCACAATGACAAAGTTAATGTCTGATGATGCTTTACTTTGCAACAAACCTCCCATAGCAGTCACTAACTTGTCAATCTCATTCTACAAGACATTTTTACAAAGAATAAAATAAGAAACGAAGTTTTCTAAAGATGTATTTACATATAAAATTTACAAATAAGACGAGTCAAGAAATAATGTCAAGAAACATGATATATTCTTGTGGTGTCCCTTTTTCATCTCATTAAGGAAGAAGGTCGGATGTAACTAAAAAGAAAAAGAAATACATTCTAGTTTCTAAACACAACAATACTTGTAAAGATTAGTAATAAGCATGGGAAAAAAACCTTTCTCTCCATTTTAAAGCCAGATGCCAGTATCTTGACTCCATCCATCGCAAGGCAACATGTGAATACTTGTTTTGGCAGTTCTCTATGCTCTTTTGCACATGAAAAAACACATTGAGGACCTGTAAAAAGTACAAGTAGCTAATTGTAACACACCAATTAGGGGCCTTCTAAGCGCTTGCAGTATATATTAACTAAGTATACACAAATTCAAGTGATTCAGAATATGATAGCATGCATAATGAAATTATTACTAATTCTTAGAATAAAATTAAAACCTAAACAAAGTGACAGAGAGGAGGTCTGGCCAAACAAATAAAGATCAAGGAACCTGGAAGGGTAAGCTCACAGTCATACCAAGCAAATTACAACCTTTCTGGCGCAGATCATTGAACTTTTCCTGCAAAAATCATTGGAAACAATTGATAAACTCCAAATTCTTACAAATACACAGTCAATATCTACCAGTACTAATACAATATGCATATACATGATCTCGAGAGGCGATCACGTGGTAATCATCAGGTCCATTCCGGGAAGGATCACAGCACAGGAAGATCTCCGCTCCATTATCTTTCAGAACGTCGTGAAGCGAATCGAATATCTCAGGCGGCACTAAATTCCTAGAGATGAACACATTCGCTCCCTTGAACGTCGTCTTCCTCATCATCTCCTCAATCTTTTATCAGCCTACTAAATAGCAGAGAAAGAAGATATTATTTATCGAGAAAATTGAATTAAACAGTATCAAGTTACCGTAAATCCGTAATCGAGCAAAGTAGGTAGCTTCATATAGCATCGAAGATTGATTTGCAATACACAAACTGCTACAAGTTATTAGTTACGTAAATCAAGGAGATAATTACGACGAAACACTAGAAAATCTGGGAAACAAAATCGCTAGAAGATAATGGGTGATGTGCTTGGCGGGAGAAGGTTGTCTCTGAAATTTCGAGCTTTGCGGTTCTAAATTTTACGGACAAAGTTTTAATGGAAATTAGTAAAACTAAATATAACATGTCTTCAAATTCAAATATTTTAGATTAATTTAGGGTTTAATTTTTTAAACATAAAAGTCTCTATCTCAAACTTTAAACGATGAAAAATCTTCGATAAAATCTTAGTATTTTGACACAGTTACGGTTTAAACTTAATTTTTATTTTTTGAACGAGTCCTGCTATTTTATGTTTTGTCCAAATAACAAAACATTTTTTTTTTCAATATAACATCACAGATTACCGTATAAAATTAGATAATAAAATTTGATGTTTCAAAAATAAATGTTGGAATTAAATCATAAACTGATCCAAAGTATTGAGATTTTTTTAAAAATTTCTTTTATACGATAATCTGTCAATTTATGTTGAAAAGAAAAATAAGGGATGTTTCGTTAATTTGGGCAAAATATAAAATAATCAGAATTTTTCTGTTCAAAAAATAAAAATTATGATTAAACTGTAAACTCACCTAAAATATTAGGACATTATCGGAAATTTCCCATATAATAATGTATGGGGGCTGCTACTTCATTGATACTTTTGATATATCCACGAATTTTAAAGGAATCTGATAGTTGTGCCTAGATTGTAATTTTCAAAGGCAGGTTGTTAGTAAATCATTAAGGCATTCACAACGGGAGTTAAACGAGAGTTTAATAAAATAAAATTGAATATAAAGCTGGTGGGTGTCATATTGAATATAAAGCTGGTGGGTGTGGTCACTCACTTTACCACACATTTGGCTTGCCATGTCATTTTCCTCTCGCCCTACAAAATTGGTGGTGTCATATAATATATTACCACAACCACCGCAATGCATATTTTTATGCACAAAATACTACCTTTGAGGGGTAGGTTTGTTTTTCCCCTACAGTGAAAAAATAATGTGCGATATGCTTACTGCAGTGAAGCAAAGGGGTCAGTAGGGTGTTTACCGCACACCGCAGTACCACATCACATACCACGGTGTGTGGTAGAGGGTGCACCGAATGGTCTAATATTAAAGAGAGAGGGTGTGTAACGTCCAAAAAATATGATCTAAAAATTATATTTTTAATTTAAATAAAATAGTATTCCAAAACATTATCCATACAACCCAAATTGTGACAACCCGAACCTTTTCCAATCAACGAAAGTCAAAACCCGTTAAATAAAAATTTTGAATTTTATTTATTTTGTCAAGCTCGTAGGGGTTGTAAACAACTTAGAGTATATGAATTCAATATATGTAAGTGTCGGGACCAAAATCGTGCGAAAAGTTAAGTTTTCCTTCGAAAACCCGCCAAGTCTCGATGTTTACGACCATGAACATGTTTACGGCCGTAAACTGTTCACGGTCTGGGGACCCCACCTCCGACCGTGAACCCAACCTATATATATATATATATATATATATATATATATATATATATATATATATATATATATATATATGTGTGTGTGTGTTCTTACCCTCATTTCTAAATTTCTAACCGAAAACACTACTTTCTCTCTTTAAAACCACTAACCGAAAACTCAATATTCCTCTCATCTATTCTCCGAAAATCATCTAATCCACCTTGGAACTTGTTTTGGAGCATCAAGCATTCATCATTTCATCAAATCAAGCAACCTTCATTCTTGAGTTCACGGTCGTGAACCTTCAATCTTCAAATCTTCAAAGGTCGAAATCAGTTCACGGCCACAAACCATTCAAGGACCGCAAACCATTCAAGGGTCGAAATTAATTCATGGTCGAGAACCGTTCACGGCCGCAATCAACCCAAATCATGGATTTTGGCTGTGAACCCACTTTTCCACTTCGATAGAGTCTCGGTAACATTCCTTAACAAAAAGCAAGTGTTTTCTAACACTTTAACCAATGGGTTCGCTAATTTAAATGCAAATATGTATTTAATTATTATTAGGATTCCGTTAATTGTTGCGTACATCAACTCGAGGGTCCTCATTTCCAGTCTCATTGTCCGACACATACACGCAACCAACTATGAGTTCATACCCCTACTTTTTACTACTTAATTTTAATGTTTTCAGGGGGAGAATACAAGTAAAACACTAGGATTTTGTGTTTTTATACAAATGATTTCAAATGGATATAAAAAAAACTTTGCAAGTGATGCAAAATGAAAAATCTATACATTTTATAAAAACATTCATACACTTTTATCCCTCGTGTAACATGCTGAGCATGAGGGTAGTTGTGAAAATACTACGATAATTGCAAGGTTTTCAGTACAATACGTGTTATACAATTTAACTATTTTGAATATAGTTTGGGAACATTACATAGCTTATACAGAATTCAATACATACAACGAGAACATACTTACAAAACTATAATAGGTATTGTTTGGGATTTTATACATGGTTTTACAAATACAATCACTTTACAATATAACAACATATAAACTATGGTAGATATAATTTAGGGAAAATGACACTTACGCCCTATAAAGTTTCTAGGGTTGACCCTTTTAGTCATTTAAGTTTTTTCGTGGCTTTATGAGGGAACTAAGTTGTGGGCAACCTGTTTTTTTTAGCCCCCTTAACTTTTTTTAGCCGGTTTAAGGGACATATAGACAAAACTTGGGGCCCACCCATCTCTCTCTCTCTCTCTTTTTGTCTCTCTCTCTCTCTTTGTCTCTCTCTCCCTCTCTCATCGCATCTCATCTCATATTTGTAAGCTGAACAATTGATTTGTTGAATACCATTGCTGTGAAATTACTTTCGCATTCTCTCAATCTGTAGCTATTTGCGGAAATCTACTTCCACTGTTGCTTTAATGTGATGGAAACAACGACTTCACCCACGACTATGGAGGATTGCTGTGTCAAAGTAGCAGTACACATAAGGCCTCTAATCGGAGATGAAAAGCTTCAAGCGTGTAAGGATTGTGTCGCTGTCGTCCCTGGGAAACCTCAGGTTAAGGAATTGCCCACTCACTCATCTCCTAATCATCTCTTCTTTCGCTGATTGCTGATTCCTTAATTTGGTTTAAGTTTTTGGTGGCATTGATTGGTCTAAGAGATAAATGAATCTGAGTTATGAGAGATCCAGTAGATCTCAAATGTGAAGCACCGCAATTACTATCACTTCTACCACTACAATTATGCATCAAATTTCTCTTTATTTTAACTTATTTGGGGAAAATCTGAAGAGCCATCCAAGATGCATGTTTATGACTGTGATAGTATTGTTCATGATCTGAGAACTAACTTAACTTTTAGTTGTGTTTTTTTGTCATTAATTGGGAAAATCTGAAGAGCCATCAAATTTCTCTGGAAGTGTTTTTTTGTCATTAATTGGGAAATTGCGTGCGCAATTAAGATTTATTGCAGATTAACAATCTCCGGCATGATGAATTTTCCGGTGAGGAGGCAGACGGCAAGGAGATTGATTGGAGCTGATCCTTTGAAAGCGAGACTGTGCCGAATGAAAAAGATCCCGACTGAGCCTAGGGCCCACCGGAGGACTTGGTTTGGACTATCTGAGAGATTGATTGGAGCTGATCCTTTTAAAGCGGGTCGTTTTGGCATACAGTATGTCGACCTCCATCCACGACAACAACAGTGATAATGGGTGGGTGTGGGGTGTGTTGGCAGCTCAAGAGAACATGATGGTGGGTGCTGGAGTCGATTACAATTCAGTGGGAGGGAGGGAAAAGTTGACTTTCACAAAGTCCAAGTAATCCATAGAAAAGTTGACTTTCACAATGTGTCAAAGAAGTAACCGGGTGACTCCTTCATTTTGGCCAAAAGAATGTAAATCGACCCGAAAAACACAACTTCGTTCCCTTATAAGGCCACAAAAATTGTTTAGGGACTAAAAAGATCAACCCATGAAACTTTATAGGGCGTGTGTGTCATTTTCCCTAATTAATTTATGGTATACAACACTACTTTCCGAATACAAGAGTACATTCCTGAATAATTATTTACTCCCCAAGATATACACACAGTTTCAAGTACAAAAGAACATTACACTACACGTAAACTAGTCAATACATGGTTGTGAGACATCACTTCAATTGTAACCTTCGGGGTGCAGGGTAAATCCCATCATAGTATAACCAGAGTCTCCTGGAGAGAGAGCCTGGCATTTGTGAATAAATCTATTCGGGACTGACTATCATACACCTGAACTGCTAGCTACAGTTAGGCATGCCTGCATGAGGTGACAAATGTCATAATGTCCGACGCCTGAAGAACGTCGTAGGGTCACTAGGTCATTTCAAGCATAGTTATACGAACTCACAACAGTATAAACTAACCTTTTGTTTACGGGATTTCATTCTTCAATAGTTTTATTTTCAATAATTGAACTACTACATACTACAACTGGAGGATTCCAGGGATCTCAATTCATGGTTTTATTTTAAGTAATAAAACTACTATACATACCAGTGATAGCCAGGGTTTTCAAACAATGCAATACTTACATTACTGGTGGTAGCCAGGGTTTTCATACAATACATTACTATACATTACTGGTGGTAGCCAGAGAGAATTTCATACAAGAGTTTTCATACAAAACAATACAATATAATACAACTGGTGGTAACCAGGCATACATGTTAATACTTTTCATTACTAAAGTGATGAAAATAATATTTTCTAAGATCGATAGATTCAAGTAGATATCAATAAGATAACAATAAGATATAGAAAACAA